GAGGTCAGCGGAGGGGTTGTGAATTGCTGGGTCCATATCGTGGTCGCGTTCTTCTGTCATGATCGCTGTGTGGCAGGCAGGATGAGGACCCAAAATGCAAACTCACAGACTCAGGGGATAAACTCAAAATGCAGCTTTATTGCTGACAGGTGACAAACGAAAGCAGTGATACCAAAACAATACAAAACTAAACTGGGAAAAGCTAATTGTAACATATGCCAGAAGACACGGGGAGAACCACACACAGCATGAGGGAGAACGCGACGCTGAACAGAGGGAGACGCCGACAGAAATACACAGAGGGTAAACGAGGAAAGTGGGAACACACGGGGAACACAGGTGACACTGATAATCATAACGAGACAGGGCGGGGTGAACTGAACATGACATGTACAGGCGTGAGAGTCACAAAGTAAACAGGAAGCGCACAGAGGTTCAGACAGGAGGAGAGAGCACGGGGAGAACACAGACATAACAGGCTGGGGAAAACATGGAATAAAACACGAAAGGGGACAAGGGCTCATGAATACATAGAGGGGCACACAGGGGTGAGAGTCACAAAGGGAAAGCACACAGGGAACATCATAACAGGGCAACTCAGGAAACAGAACCTAAACAGGGAACTGAATACAAAAATACAAGAGAACTAAGAATACTGGGCCAACACGGCCCAGGACCATGACACAGTCTTTCAGCCAGAAGGTCCCTTTGTTCCTGCGCTGTTTATCCACTCTTCATAATAAACCATCTTCAGTTCTTAACTATCCATGAGTCCTGCGTTTAGGTCACTTCCTTGCCTCCACACGACACAAATCCTGACAGCGTGTGCGCATACCGTGTGTGTGCATGTGTGTATGTCTCTGTGTACATGACTTCCCGTCTTAAAAAAGGCCATCTCCCCACACCCAAGGTACACCAAACTCCTCTACAAAACATGATTATTAGGTCACAAGCACTGAGACCCTCACTCAGGTATCCCTTGGGGTATTTCCACTAAGCTATGGCATCCCTTTGGGGGGGGGTTCTCCTAAAAGTCTAGTCTAGTCTAGTCCTAACTTTAAGATACGTTTAGGCCTTTATTACATCCAGGGCAGTGTCAGTGTCTCTACAATACTCTACATTTCTTGTAACTTATTTCTAAAGCCTAAAGTGAACTACAAATATCTTCACTGGCTGTATGCAGGTAGCAGTGCCATGACAAGCATCTGTAAACAAAAGAGCTGTGTACAAACACAATGACAAAGGCTAATGAGGATGGAGAAATACATTTAAAGGGTTGAGAGTAAGTAGAATGACATCAAAAATCAAATTGATCGAGAAAAACTTCAATCTATGTTAATACTACAGTGTGATCACTAGATGAAGACAAAGAGTTCTGTTCTTGTGGATAACAGGTTAAAGACCTGCTGCAAAATTGTTCACAATGAGTCACAGTGACTGACAGCAAGTTAGCCTGGGCCCTGGATGTGTTTTTGAATATCCCTAGATCTCATAAAAGAATTGTTTACTGGGGGGAAGATAAATTCAGCCATCTGATCACCGGCTATCACAGGCAAGGTCTCTGTCAGAGCTGAGCATCACTCTGGCAGCTCGAACCTAACATCAGCGCCTATGTTGACTGGTCTGACAAACTGGATTCAGCAATGGGACTCCAGCAGCTGTTAGCTAAAAAAACATCAACAATGATGGTGGCAAGCATCACAGTAAGTAACCATAGTGACAGTGGGATGGTCTGAAACTGAAACTGGATAAAAGATCTGAGGTTATTATATCCATCCGATATCAAGATTGCACTAAAACCTATTAAAATAAGTAAACTGTATGTGTAGATAGTGTGCATTATTGTTGTAACCTTAAGAAGAAAAAGGTGTGCATATCTGTGTATTCAGAGTGTGAATACACAGAAAGACAATAGAAAGTCATGTACGTTGTTGTGTTCCACGTTCACAGAGGAGTAATGAAATCTAGTGGACATTTGAAGATACTACACAGAATAGTTTAAAAACCAGTGTAAAAGCAGAGTGAAAATTAAAGGACACTAAGAATAAAATACTGCAAAATGAAATAGAAAACACAAATTAACAAACAAGGGAGTCACGTGATAGTGAAGACAGATGTCATTTGTGCACGACATTCAGTAGAAATAACAGCAACACAATCCTGACTCATGAACATCCACATCTGCATTAAATATTGGCCTGTAGCTCCATTCATTATCGACAGTTTAGTTCTTGTGGCATGAAATTGTGCATTAATAATTCGATTTTCTGCAACCTGACATTTGTTGAATAACTGATTGGACCAGTTTATAAAGTAAGTTGATACATAAGAGTTATACCATAGATGATCTATTTGGGTGGAGTTTCATTGGCACATGTTGATTACATTCTTCTTATAACGAGGACAGAGGAGAGAGCAGAGGAGATGAAGACTATGAAGTTTATTTTAGTATTATTTTGTGACTTCAACCTTGAGGCAGCACATCTTTGACATGTTATATTTATTTCACTATAATATTTAGTAAATTTAGTAAATCCAAAAGATTTCAAGACTGGGCTCAGCACCCAGATCCTAGCAATGCCCCTGACTGCGAGGCACTCGATTAATCATTAGCATTATTTTTGCCATTGTTATGCAACATTACACAACACGCAATCATGTGTGTGAACTTCAAGCCTTACAGCTGCTTTGTTTGAATACCCTGCGGATGCATGTGAGATTAAAAAAAGAAAAAAGAGGAAAAACACCGGAAATCGAAAGGGGAAGTTCATTTTACTGCCACCGGGTTCTAATAAATAACATGAAGCAGCTTTTGTTTGTCAGTTATGGGGCAGCTGAAGGTGCTTCACATCTTTACCCTTGGTAAGAAAATCTTCCTTTTCGTATAATGTTTTTCTTTATATTGTGCAGATCAAGAATGTTATAGTTAACTAAAACTATATGTAAAAAATAAAATATTTTAGTTAACTAAACTAAAATAAAAATTTATATGGAATATAATTAGTTTTAGTAGGAATTTTATTACAACTTGCCCGATGAGGCATTGGTAGACTTGAAACTTGAGTCTAAAAGCCCGAGTGAACTGCTTTCAAAAGATTATGTTTGTTCATTGTAAGACCTGTAGTGATTTTCCTAAATCAATTAAAACTAAACTAAGTTGCATCATGTTCAAATAATAAAAAAGAAACTGAAATAAGAAATTAAACTCTGGAAGCTAAAGTGAAAATAAATTAAGAACATCCATCCATCCATTTGCTTCCGCTTATCCTTTTCAGGGTCGCGGGGGGCGCTGGAGCCTATACTAGCTGTCATAGGGCGAGAGGCGGGGTACAAAAGAAAAATTAAGAACAAAAAGTAAAAAGATACAAAACTATAATAACTCTGATACAGAAGCAGTAATGAATACATCTTTAAGACTCAGTTTTTATTTTTATTTTTATTTTTTTTTATAAATGATAACATTTGTTACATTATTTTTAACTAACTTTATATCATAAGCAATCCCATGTTTTCCTCTTCATCAGTTTCTTGTCTCTTTGCGTCCTCCACACCTGCAGCAGGTAAGTTTCTTCTTATGTGTCTCATATGAATATTTCAACTTGAAGAAAATATTAAAAACAGTTTATATTATGTGCTGATAGGTCAGATCAGACTAGCTGGGTCTGGGTCCACTCGGTGCTCTGGAAGGGTTGAAATCTATCACAGTGGCTCCTGGGGAACAGTCTGTGATGATGACTGGGACTTAAATGATGCAAAAGTGGTCTGTAGAAGACTTCGCTGTGGGACACCAGTGGAGGCCACTGCATCTGCTCACTTTGGTGCAGGAAGTGGAGAAATCTGGCTTGATAATGTGGCCTGTTCAGGAAGTGAGAGTTCTCTAACTGCGTGTGAACACAGAGGATTTGGGACACACAACTGTGGACATGGCGAGGACGCTGGTGTTGTCTGTTCAGGTGAGATATTGTTCTAATAAATTGTGTTGAATAAATGTATCTTTCTCTGTTTGGATGAACAACTCTTTGACCCAGTCACTATAACTGGGCCAAACTGAATGACAAGAAGGAAAGTTGGGCTGGGTTATGCTGATTGGGTTTCTTTTGGTTTCTTCAGAATTTAAATGATACAAAGTATGTTATCTTTCATAATTATTATTGTTGGTAAATGTGTTTGATTTTTGCCATGGCCAAATAACAAAAAAGAAACACTAACACTCTTTAAGCAAATGTGCCTGTGACTAGGTGCTCATATCAGATTATCCAGGTCTGGGTCCATTCGGTGCTCTGGAAGAGTAGAAATCTACCACAACAGTGCGTGGGGAACAGTCTGTGATGATGACTGGGACTTAAATGATGCTAAGGTGGCCTGTAGACAGCTGGGGTGCGGGACAGCAGTGGAGGCCACTGCATCTGCTCACTTTGGTCCAGGAAGTGGGAAAATCTGGCTTGATGACGTGGCCTGTTCAGGAAGTGAAAGTTCTCTAATTGAGTGTGGACACAATGGATTTGGGACACACAACTGTGGACATAACGAGGACGCTGGTGTTGTTTGTTCAGGTGAGAAAAAATACACAAAACAACTTGATAAACTTAATTTTCTCCATCAATCATGTAAGGTACATGGGGTCAAAAGCAACAAATCAACCTGGACCCATCATGTTTCCTCTACTGTGCAGTGTTTGACATTTTTCTGTCAGTTTGCAGTATAGTGTGTTCTGTCAAGTTTTTCTTTAATGGTTTTTACTCAGGATTCAGTGGTTACTTGCCATGGGAACTGTTTAAATAGATATGCATTTGCCATATACAAGCAGAGCACAAAAAGTGATCATTATTCTTTTTATTTTTTATTCTTTCATCTAACTAGTACACTGTTGATATCTCTTCATTTACAGACAGTTAATGTTTCAGATGCATGTCAAAGCTCTTTCAGATTATATTTCCAGCTTTCCCAGAGATCTGTTTTTGAGGCAACAATCGCATCAGCAGATGCGTCGTGTAGATAACGAACTCAAAATAAGCGTAGCTTATCTTCACACCTTCAGTTTTGATTTGTAAATTAGCTGAGGCTCAGCTAAGGTTAGCATTTGGAGATGCTGTAGTGGGGTTTTACATACTTTTTCTAACCTACTGTACATGGAGCATTTTGATATTTAGCATGGTGTTATTAATATTTTGCCATCTAACTCTGTCTTGTCAAATGACAGAATCCTGTTCTAAGAGTACAAGCAGAAATGACAGTGTGGCTCACCACAGAGACCACATTCCTTTATTTTTATTTTTATTTTTTTCCTGTCCCATTTGGTTCTTTAGCCGTCAGAATTGTTGTTTGAAGACCAACAAGGATACCCAATGGATTTACTTTACCAAATGGATCATCACGGCCTTGCCGTATTGGTCCATTTGATCGACCTTTGTTGTTATTATTTATTTTATTTTATTTTCAGTTGTTACAGACAGACATGACTGAGGGATAGGAAAGGGAGAAAGAAAGATGAAGTAAAAGAAAAACAGAGGGTAAGAGGGACAGTGAGAAAGGACACTTAAAAAGAGAAAGAAGAGGAAAAAAACCTCCTGGATCACCTGTTGAGAGAAAAAGAAGAGAAAACAAGCAAAAAAACAGAGCAACATACTAAACACAACACCATCACGTTAATCTAGCTAAGTGTAAACAGCAGTAAATACTAAATATTGAATGTTGTTGTGTAGCAAGCAGGACCAACAGCGCACAATGTGCTTGGAAATAGCAGCCTATAAAGGTGTAGTTTATGTCTATGAACAGTGAACACCCGTGTGCACACCTGTGTGGATCAGCGCGCTTTTATTCAAAAGGTTTCCCCATGTAATGGTCTGCTAGAGGATGTAGAGAGCCATAGCCCCGCTCCCATGGCATGAAGCAGGCATGGAAGAGATCCAGGCCCCAGACATCCAGAGGCCCCAGAGTGCGAGAGCCCAAGGAGGACTACCAGAGGGGCATCGGTGCCACCCTCCTGAGAAGAGCTGAAGAGAGACCACATTCCTAACATGTAATTGAAAATATATTTAAATGCACTGCAGCTGATTTGTACCAGCCTAAAATGTCCTCATGTAAAATGGTGAAACTACATTTTTATGCAAATAACTTGCGTATCAGCATGATTGATCAAGCATATTCACATAGATACATGGGCAGAAACACAAAAATGGCTCAAAACTAAACATCACAACACCTTCACATACTAACACACCCACACACAGTAAGTTACTCAGGCAAACAAGAAAAGCAGCAGCTGGTGTTTAGAGGAGATTTTAAACAATTCGGAGCACTGTTAAGTATGGGTGTCCATGGCTTTCTGCAAATTGTGCAGCTTTTACATGAGGATAACATCAACCAGTGAGGCTCTCTTTTCTTGACTCCTTTCCAGTGTGGCTCTTAAAAACATTAAGGAAAAAAATAAACTGAAGGCAAGCAAACCCAACAAATCCAGGACTCTGCTTTGACACAACCAGCTTTAAGGCTTGGTGTACTTATAAACATAAAACTTTAACAAATCAGATGCAAAGAAACTGTCTTTGAGGAATTATGAAACAAAAACAAAACAGAAAAAATCCCCATTACATTAAACAGAGAACAGTGAGTCCGTTTTTTAGCGTGTATGTTTGGTGTTTTACTGTAAATTTCTTCTTGATTGTTTAGAGCAGGGGTCGGAAACCTATGGCTCGTGAGCCAGATGTGGTTGTTTTGATGGCTGCATCTGGCTCACAGGCAAATCTTTAACAATGAAAGAAATGTGATATTAAAAATATAAAACATTCCCATGTATTTCAATCAATTCATTTTCTACCGCTCATGTTGATGGTTGCGGATGGCTGGAGCTAACCACAGCTGTCCTCCGAGACAACACCAAATTTTTATTGGATAATGCGTAACATACATGGGTCATTGTGACAACTTTTTGTTATTTATGCTCGTCCACCATCCATCACACATAACACTGCCTAGGAACAAGGCATGTTTTTCATCTTCGACCTCATGCACGGTTTTGCGTGTAATGTCCTTTTTTCCCACATGCTTGGCATTTTACTTCATTTGCTGGACAATCTTGCTATGAACAGGATGAAGTGCCACTACATTTATGACACTTTGCACTTTCTCGCTGTCTTTCTGGAACCCACGTTTAAGCTTGACAACCACCAGTCTGTAGATTTTTTTTTATAGTAGCAGACTTACATCCAGAGCTGGACTGGGACAAAAAATCGGACCTGCCAACCAGATATTATAGGAAAAGCCATAAAGCCTTTGAATGAAAACAAAAGCTGTTGTGACACTGATGTACACTGTCTTGTTGGTATATATGTATGATTTCTGTCATGGTCCTGGGTCAACTGACCTAGCGTTTACTATTATGATCTTATGTTCTAGTTTTTTGTGTTTGTGTATTTGGGTTTAGACTTTTTAGTTCATAGCGTTTTGGTTCTGTGTTCCCTGTGTTCTTTATCTGTACTGTGTCTCTGAGTCCAGTCTGTGTATTTCCTGTCTTACTTTGAAGGTCCATGTCTGCTGTCAGAGTGTTCAGTTTTGCACCCTCCCTATTTCAACGTGTTAATTTGGTTCAGCCATGTCTCCCTCCTGTGTGTATTTATAGTGTGTGTTCTCTTGTGCGTGTTACTGGTCCGTCTGTGTTTTCTCAGTACACTTCTGCCTTCTTGTCATGTCACTTCAGCTTTCCATTCCCTCGTGTTTCTGGCTTGTAGATTAGCTCTTAGTTCTTTTCCAGTTTGGGTTTGCTTAGTTCTGTTTGTGCCATCACTGCCTTTTGTTTGTTGTCACAGCAGTGCCCGTATCTTGGGTCCTTTTTAAAATTCCACACGGCTTGCCCCATAAACCATGACAATTGCTATACATGTTACATCAGATGACCACTTTGGTTGCAAGATTCAGATGATTATTTATTAAAAGATAGAGAATTAAAATGACAATAAGAAAGAAAAGTATTTCTTTTTGCCCCTCTTTCCCTGGTAATGTGTCTGCAACCACAGTTGCAGACACATGATCTGGGCCACCAAAGGGTCATCATTCATTAATAAATGAATGAATGAATGAAATTCTTTGCGGTATGTGGGCCATGTGTAAGTTGTGTGCAGCCACGGGCCAGTTGCAAGCACACTGCTGGCCCTGTGCTGGCCCCGAACAGTTTCAGCTCTGGACCCAGATGTCAGCCTAATGTCTACCTTAACCCTCGGATGGTCATAGTCAAAAAAGGGACCCTTTTGGGTCCCTTTTTTGACTATGACCATCCGAGGGTTAATCAAGCCATGTAATAACAACATGTGCATAATAGTGCAAAAGTAAAATGACAAAACTCTGATCAGACAGTGAATGGACTGACTCTTATACAGCACTTTTCTATTCTCCCAGATTGCTCAACATGCCACATTTACCCAATCACACACTTTCTCTAAACTGAGCGCTTCCTAACTACATTCATACACATTCAGACTTGACACTAACCTTCCGATCAGTGGGTGACCTGCTCTACCTCCTGAGCTACAGCCACGCACTGGCAAAGATGAGCAAACCGTCACTAGGTTTTGGCTAAAGTGTACACTCACAAACCTGCATTTGTAATGTTGGCTACCATAGCGGTATAGTATTGCAACATGGCATTTGAGTCTTCTAACTAAAATAGGAACATAAATATTGCCATCATTGCCAGACCTGGTCCACATCTGGTTGACATGCAGCCATGACACCGGTCAGTCAGAAATGCCAGCTTGATGCCAGATCCGGGCCAGACCCATTTTTCTATGGGTCTGGGCCACATGAACCAAATCACAATCGAGCCAGATATGGCATGCCAACCGCCATGGACAGCGCAATCTATGCCAGGCCTGGCCCATATCTGGATGACATACGTCTTATCATGCCAGAAGTCAGCCAGCAGTGCAGGCTTGATACCAGATCCGGGCCAGACCTGCTTGCGATGTGGGAAGGACATCTCCTGGTTTCATCTTCATGTTTCCCTCTCACCAGATATCCAAACCGATATCATGACCAGCAGCTTTTACGGCTGTGGCCCCAGCAAACATCAGCTGATACCTGAAAGTAATATTAAATAAATTCTAAAAACAGCTTATCAAGCTTAACCATACTGCTGTTGTTTAGCATGACATCCACAGGTTTCCTCTTTCTGTCACAAAGTGGGCGATAAACAAACAAAAGAGACGGAACTTGCAACAGAAAAGCCAATCAGCTGATCATTGATCAGTTTCATGATTGAAGTAGCAACAGGAGAGGGAGAGAATGACAGAAGAAGAGGCAGCTGTGCAGCATAAAGACAGAATAACTCCAGCTTTGTGTCTTATTTTCATTCTAGCTGAAGAACGGAACAAATCACGTTCTTTTTAACCTCAATATGGATACCGCAAAACCATTTTCTTCTGTTTGTCCATGATAAGATTGGTTTCAGAGCCGCTGCCCAAGCAAACGGGAGGGTGTGTCCGACGTCCTCAGCTGTAAATGGTCCAGCCCAGGGTCAATCATGACACATTGGCCAATCCACCACCTTTTATTGTTTATACCATTACAAAAAATAAAAAAAACAACAAAAAAGCTCATGAGAACAAAAAAATATCATCGGCCCACCAGGCGAATGCCCGATATGCCTGATGGCCAGTCCAGCTGTACTTATGTCTGACTTTATGTTGATATGTTGATAGACTTCTGCAAGGTCAAATCTGAGTCAAGCTGCATGCATTCTGACAGCCGTTTGTCTGTGAGACCGACAACAAGCCTGTCACGTATCAGCTCATCATGTAGCACTCCATAGTTGCAGTGTTGTGCTTGTGCGTAGAGCACAGTCACAAAAAAAAGCATCCCCTTTCTGATTATCTCCCTGTCTGCGCATGTTGAATTTAAGCACGCTGAAAACAGCCTCAAATCCATCATGTTGTCCTCTGCTTAGCAGTTAACTTAGTCAGTGAAGAAATAAATCAAAATGTTGACTTGGTTCTCTTCCAAACTCACATTCAAATTACTTGCAAGAGAAAATCTTTTGAACCTTGGTATCCATTTGGACTACTCTTGCGGCTTTGAAAAGTCAGAGGACTCCAGTTGCTGGATGCTGAACGTCGTGCTCGGCCCCGCTGACACCACCAGTCTCGCCCCCTAGCTGCCATCCTAACTAATTACACTGATTGGTTCCGTTAACATCCATCCATCCATTCGCTTCCGCTTATCCTTTTCAGGATTTCGGGGGGCACTGGAGCCTATCCTAGCTGTCATAGGGCAAGAGGCGGGGTACACCCTGGACAGGTCGCCAGTCTGTCGCAGGGCTAACACACAGGGACAGACAACCATTCGCGCTCACATTCACTTCCGCATTCACACCGGTTCCGTTAACATCCTGCTGTGGAATGCAATTACACCGCAGATGTAACCTAACTCTGACCATGAAACCACAGCCACTGTGCACCAGTCACACACTGTTCTTTACTTTAAATCCACCACATCATAGCAAATTAACCTGTTTATCCTGCGAAACACAATTTCATATGTACTGGCTCAATGTCCGTTTTAAAAACATGAGGACTTACATGTAAGCTTTACATTTCCAGTTTATCAAATCCCACTGAGACCTTCAAATCTAACCTCTGTTCGTCTTGTCCAATCTTTCTTATCTTTCTCCAACTCTGGGTGAGATTTATTTCTCTACCTGTGAAATAAAGTAGCTGGACCTTTAGCTAGCAACACACTGTGAGACAAACTGCTCACAAACAGTTTGTGTGTTTGCTGATGTTTGTTGAGCTGATAAAAATGTTGCATTTGAAATGATCTGACACTTAAAAAGTCACTCCCCTCATTTTCATTCCTCTTCAGTAGGGCTAGCTAGATACTGCAACTGCAACTTACAGACACCTACAGTCGTTTCAGTGTTGTGCAAAAAAACATAAAAAAATAAACATAAAATAAACCACTGTCCCACTTTTAACCCATAAACGTTGGCCAATGCCATCTCTCTTTCTCTCTCTTTACCTCTCTTGCCATCCCTGGTGATTAATAAATGAACAGGACTGCCTTCCAAGTGTCACTGTCTAGGTTTAAACTGGTGTCATGAAGGCTAGCGGTAACAAACAATAACTCCCCCCAAATGCGTTAAACCAGAGATAAAGAGCAAGTTTAGAAAATGTAAGGAGTAGAAAGTACAGATATTTGTTTAAAAATGTAGGGAGTAAAAGTAAAAAGTAGTCAGAAAAAAAGTACTTAAGTACAGATACCTGAAAATTGTACTTAAGTACAGTAACAAAGTATTTGTACTTTGTTACTTCCCACCTCTAGTGTTATTATACTGTCTATGCTCGGAAAGAGCCAAAGTTGTGTTAGCAGTTTCTGTCCCAGATACCATCTTGCTCTCATCTTTTCTAAACTGGATTTTATTGCCAGCAGACATGGTATTGATTCATGTAGAGCTTGAGAAGGGAAAGTGGAGGTGATAGTGGGTTGCAAAGTGGCTTGCAGTGAGAATGTCACTAAAGAGAATTACCAGTTGGATATGTAAACTGGTATCAGTTGAGCCATATGGATTGTTATTGGGATTAGCTGAGGACATCGGTGTAGCTTGACTTTGTGATCTATTAAAACTAACACTATTCTTTTTTTTCTTTTCTTTTTTTTTGTTAGTGAGTCTCCCAAAACCCAGCATCTCTGTAAATGAAGGTGAGGTTAGCTGGGGTCAGAATATCAGCATCACTTGTTCCATCTCATCTGAGTTCTTAGATGGAACTTTCACCCTCAAGAAAACCTCAAGCAGTTTCAGTCAGACTGAAACAGGATCCCGATCTGCTACCTTCAATATCGACAGAGTGGACTTCAGTGATGATGGACTGTACCAGTGTCAGTATGAGAAACGCATTTCAAGTAACACATTCAGCTCCCCCCTCAGTGACTCTGTCAGAATCTCTGTTACTGGTAAGAAGAAATACACTTTCCTGAACATCATGTTTCATTTGTTTTCTATAAGTAGGGTGATCAGTGAGCTACAACAAATGTATTATTGTGCTGGTGTTGTGTGTCTCTTTTCAGTAATCTTTCCAAAACCCAATATCTCCATCAGTCCTGCTGGTGAGGTGACCTGGGGTCAGAACATTGGAATCACTTGTTCAATCTCAACTCAAACTTTAGGTGGAACGTTCATTCTGATGAAAACATCAGATTCATTCAACAGGACCCAAAACTCAAACACAAACTCTGCTACCTTCAATATTCCTGAAGTAGACTTTGATGATGAGGGATTGTACCAGTGTCAGTATCAGGAAAGCGGCCCAAGTCATGAATTTTACTCCCCACTAAGTGACTTTTTTAGGCTCTCTGTTACAGGTAAGAAAACAAATACAAGTATGATAGTCAATAATTAATAGCAATGCTTATAAGAGGATACTGCAGTAGTTCTTTCTTGTATTTAGAACAGCAGCTCTTTTTTCATAAAATTTCTGGATGGCTGACAAAATGCTCTCAAAGCCCACAGTACTGAGGACTAAACACAGACTACTGGAAACAAACTATTACACACTGTGGAGCATTTAGCAGCTAAAGAGCTAAATGTTAAGTTGGGGCCTAAAAAAGTGAATGCTGGACTTCCGTCCTTAATCCCAATGTCACTTTCACACAGTGAGACTGCAGAGGCCCAGCATCTCCTTGACGTCTCCGAATGCAGGACTTGTCTGGGGTCCTGAAGGTGCACAGATCACCAGGGGTTACAGCTTTGTCCTCACCTGTTCCATTAACTCCACATTTTCCAGTGGCCATTTTATTCTCAGCTTCTCTGGCTCCAACCTCACAGAGCCAGCAGTCAACAACTCAGCCTCATTTAGTTTCCCTGTAGCGGAGTATGAGCAACAGGGCAACTACAGCTGTGTGTACGAGGTCACAGTGTCCACACGGACATTCAGATCTGCTGTAATTGCACCAATTAGTGTCATCATTAAGTACAGTAAGTACAGTATTTACACCTACATAAATTACACAGTTTATGCTTTTTTATTTTTTAATTACAAACAAATAATAAGAAATGTCACTGTGACAAATCTTCTGTGCACACTGTGTATCTGTATTTCTCAGGCTTCTCTGTTCATTCTGTTAATTTCTGAATGTTTACATTTAAAACCAGAAAGAGAAGAAGCAGATGTATAGGAGGAGACTGTTCCAGTATAGAAACAAACGTGAATAGAAACAGAAAGATATGAGTCTGAAGTTTCCAAAAAAAACAAAAACAAATGCAGTAATCAGTCTTTTCAGAGTAATCCTGTGCTAGGGTGTACTTCATAGCAAAAATTATTCCATTTGTCAAGGGAGAAACTGGCAAGAATGTACCAGGGGGCCGATCCGACCTGCCCCAGATGTAAACAGGTGCCAGCCAACTTATGCCACATGTTCTGGTCTTGTTCCAGGCTGAAAGACTTTTGGGCTAACATCTTTAGAACATTCTCATTCATTTCTAATAAGGATATGGAACCAATGCCTCTGACAGCCATCTTCGGTGTGGCACCGAGGGAAACTCAACTAACAGCCTCTCAGAGGAAGGCAATAGCATTCGCCTCATTGCTGGCTGGGAGATTGATTCTATTTAACTGGATAAAGGCAACACCGCCATTCCATAAACGCTGGGTGGAGGAGGTGATGGCACACCTCAAATTAGAACATCTCAGATTTACTGTACAGGGCAACACCAAGAAATTCTTTAAGGTCTGGCAGCCTTTCATTTCCTATTTTGAAGATGAGTTTCCGTCCACTCCATAACTGGCAACTCCCCCCCCCCTTTTTTTTCTTCTTTTTTTTTCCTTCCTCTGTCTGGGTATAGTTTTGTCTTACACTGTGTGGTAGGACTTGAGTTCGAGCTTTTCTGTATGAATGATATGCTTTCTGAAAACTCAATAAAAACACTTTGATTATTATTCATAGCAAAAATTAGAAACACACTGGAATAGGATAAAATGATAAGAATAAGATACTGTACATAATAGAATAGAATCAAATAATATACTGTATACAATAGAATAAAAATAGAATAAACTTTCTTAACCATCTTTCCTGTTTTTGCTTTCTCTCAGTCTGGACATTATACTGTCTGTCATCAGCAGAGTTCTCAGTAATCACTAGTGAACCACAGTAAAGTTTTGAGACAGTCTGTTAAGACTGTTTAAACTTGTAAATAACTGCTTACAATTAAATTGATGAAAATGATTTTATGTTTTTTTCTGGTTTCATCTAATTGAATTAATTTAGCCTTTCTTTCTTTTGGTGCTGGGGACGCTGTCATATTTTTAAACTACTTTTAGTAAGTAAGTAGGTTTTTAAGTTGAGCGTGTAGTGTTCCTTCAGTTTGTCAGATCCTCGCCTTGTTTGTCACTTCTCGTTTGAAAAGTTCCTCAAGATGGGGAAGTTTGATTAAGATCCAAAAACGCTGAGCTCAAGGCTTCACCACAGGACTTCACTAACCACTGTGTGGTGTCACATTGGTTATGTCCAACATTTAGATACGGTCAAGATGAGAACTGATGACTGTGTATCTGTTCCTGCTGAGCACAGTGTTCTGTAGCCAAACTCTTGAAACTAGACTGGTGTGAATGACATACGATGTGGCTGAAAACTACATGCTCTCGACTGAAACATAAATGAGAAGTAGTTTTTATGGATAAACTGATCAAATTTTCTCTTCCTAGTGTCTTTGATGATGCTGGTGTCCTCGGTATCTGTTGGAGTCCTGCTGCTGCTCCTGCTGCTGCCATTAGTGATGTGGCTGCTGTGCAGAAGACCACGAGCAACCAAGCAGCCTGGAATCCTCGTCCAAAGTCAAAGTGTGTGCTCACCAGGACACACAATTATAAATAATTATTCATCACATTGTTTACATGTTCATACATATTTTTTCTCATACTTGTGTTTCAGTATCTGTCAGAGTCAGGAATAATTATATCAATGCAGATGAAGAGGATGATGAGGAGGACTATGTGAATGTTGATGCAGTGGAAACTAATGAAAAAATCAAAGAAGTTGCAGTACTGGATGAAGAAGTGAGTGATGATTATGATGACCCAGTGAGTGATGAAGATCATGATTATGAGGAAGTGAGCCCAAATGACAATTACAACAAGCCCAAGGAGGCCTGTGTGAGCGTAGACGGTCACAGGGAAGATGAAGGGGAAACTAGTGATGAAGAAGACAACTATGAGAACGTATCCTCACCATCATTAGGTGTGGATAATGATAAGGAAGAGGAAACTAGTGATGGAGAGAACGACTATGAGAATGTATCCTCACCATCAACAGTTCATTATCATTTATAATGACCTGAACTTCATAAACATCTGAAATACAACCACATAAAAAAAATGTCAATAAGTGTTGACAATAAATGATGGCAAGCTTGGTCAGCTTGAGATTTCACAGTAAGCTGCAGTAACACCAGAGGAATATATTTTATTTCAAGCCAACATGAAAATAATCACAGGAACGTTTTTAAACATTCATTATTAACCTATTACATTTATATACATATTTACCACTGAATAATTGCTCGATGATGTCTTTTTCCATAACTTCTCTTTTGGGTTTAGTGTTCTATGAGTCATTGAGTCGGGAACCATTTAGAGCAGAGACAGGGAGAGTTTAAAGAAGCAGAAGGACTTGTATGTTTATTTTTGCTGCAAGAGAATGATCAATAAAGTTCTGCTCAGCACCTGAATTGAATAATGCAAGAGTGTGTTTACTGTAATCTTTGTGGGTACCAAGAGTCTGGGCATCATGGTGAGTGGTTGGAAGGATTCAAAATGTGGACTAAGGAATTACCAGCATTTATTTACAGTCCCGGCAATTCACACAGGGAAGTAACGAATTTGCAAACTATATCTCAAGAACAGCAGGTTATCCAGAAGGCCACTCATCCATGCCACAGGGATGGCCAGAGACAAATCCACCAAACTGACCCCAAAATACTCACAGTCCAAACACTCACTCAGCCCTCACACTCGATTCCTGTACAAACAGGAACAGAAGGTAAGTGGCAGCTTCAAGGCAAACAAAGAAGACAAACGATTAAATGTGGCAGAAACCAAGCTTCGCTAACGTTTAGTTAGCAGTCCGGCTTTGAATGACAGTCCTCCTCCAGCTTAAAGGAACCGGATGAGGCAAGTACCCAAGTCAACCCAAGTGCAGTCAGCCAGATGCTGGAGGAAGACACTGCAAAACAAAGTGTGGTTAGAGACAAAGAGAGAGAGAGAAGCGGGCAAGGCGGGAAACTGGAGGACCATGATACTGGGTAGGAATGAAATATCAGATTTTGCCAAGCAGCATCCCGACATCAGTGTGAGGCCTGTCTTAGAATTATCACTATTTTTTTTATATCTCTTTTATTTATTAAACTTACACCTGATTATATTCTGATCAATAATAAGTAATTAAGCATCCTTAACTATCAGCAAAATCACATGTAAATCATGATTCTGTGTTCAACAAATACACCATAAATAACACCATTTCATTCAGAGTTATGCATAATGATGGGCTGGTGACATATTTATTATCTTTCACATTCCTGCAGCCACACACACACACACACTAATCTGCCAAGGTCAAAACTTGATTATGTCTGTGCACACAGAATGTGGATATTGAAACCATTTTCACTACTGAAACTGTAAATGTGCAAAACTTTGGAAATAAAAGAGAAAATAAAGACTTAAAGAGACTTACAGCTTTTATTGTCATTGTGCGGTTTCTTGCACAGCGAAATTGGGTAGATGGACCACAAAGGTGCACAAGTAAAGAAAACAATATACAATGAGGGAAAAAAGCAATATATATGTATACATATATGTGAGTAACAATGTACATGGTGTATGCGTAGAAACATTGAAAGAGAAACATTGTGGGCTTTATACAAGGTCAGTTATACAATTTAATAAATAAGGGTGGAGTGGCTATGGTCAGTTAGGGTGGAGGTGGTAGTTCCAGTGAGACCAAAATATTGCACATACCAAAGATATTACACATGGGCCAAAAATATTGCACAGAACATGGGAAGACTGAGATATTGCACATGGGATGGCAGCAACATAGTTGATTAGAAGCGTCAGAGTGGATGTGTTGGAGAAGTCTGTTCACACTCTTAGTTTGCATTAAGAGTTCTGTCAGCCCACGGGAAGAAGCTGTTCTTTAGTTTAGTAATCTCAACTTTTTTCCAGAGGGCAGGATGTTGAAGAGGTGGTGGTTAGGGTGGAGGTGGTCCTTTATAATTACCCTGGCTCTGGAGAGACATCTCGAGCTGGCAATGGAGTCCAGGGGGGACAGTGGACAGCCGATCACCTTCTCTGCAGTTTTGATGACCCTCTGTAGTCTCCTCTTGTCAGCTGTCGTGCAACCAGCGTACCACACAGATAGTGGCTCGGTAGAAGGACACTAGTAGGTCAGTCTGCAGCCTGTTCTATCTCCAAACCCTCAGGAAATGGAGGCGCTGCTGGGCTTTCTTCACTAGGGCTGATGTGTTTGTGGACCAAGATTGGTCCTCAGATACGTGGGTGCTGAGGAACTTAAAGGAGGCCACCCTCTCCTCAAATATGCTGCATTGCAAAAAAATGTGGGAAACTTAATTTCGCACAAATTTTCTGCCAGGAATCATGACCTTGCAGGACCAACTAAGGTAACTGTGTACTACAGGGATGCATTTGGCTCAACTCCTGTATATCTAACAGTGACATGGTTTGTAATAAAAAAACCCAAAAGAAAGCAGAGACATATATACTTCATATGCAATACCATGTAAGTGCCATTCACAGATTATAATACAAAAATTAAATGGTATAATATAACATAAAACCACAGAAAACTGGCTAAATTTACATTTAAGTTAAGTTTTATTTCTCACTCAAATTCAAGTCTCTGCAGGCTGTGAATGATAAATTTAAAAAGCAGACTGAGGAGCTCTTCAAGGTCATCTTCATCAACGCCAGCTCATCAGACTCACTGAAGAAAGTGATCACAAAACGTGGTGAGTTAAAGATACATCCATTCACTACCAATTCAATTAGGCATGTCTCTTAGATTTTTGATATGTTCCATGTCATTTGAAATCTACCACTGAGACGTCCATGTAGGTATGAACTCAGGAGGATGCGTTAGAACAGAGCTGTTAAAGGTCTCAGCTGTTTCTATTGAAATAACTCTAAATGGAAGCGATTACATTGAGATAATCTTTGCTCTTTTAAGTGATCCTGATACATTCCTGATCACTGACCAACGCTTTCTAAATAAGACCTAATATGTGAATCTGGTCTGTGAAGATCAGGCCTCACATCTTCTTTGATGACCAGCAGAGACTTGTTGATACTGTATTGGGGTCCGGCACAGTGGCATTCCTGGTGCCCTCACCAAACTAACAATAATATGTCATAACGACGCAAAAATGTGAACTGAAATATGTCCCCATATTGGTCTAAATAACAAAAAATAAACACATTTTTTTTAATCTCATCTGTTATTTTTGTATCTTTATAAAACATATTTGTATGTATTAAAGTTATCAAAAAATGTACTGCATGTTGGAGCTGCCATAGCAGACTGGGATTTCCTCACAGAGAAACAGTCTTTCAGGGTGTAGATGTAAAGAACCATAATATGTAACTATATCAGTCATTATGTAATTATGTCAAAAACATCTGAGTTTTATATAGCACATGTTGAAATACAACAAATATGACTGTAGCACATTATGCTGCATGGATTTATTAAAAAGCACCAAAATCTAGGAGGTATCATTTTTGTACCATCTTAGACAAGTAAATAATACTATCACACAAATCTCCTTAACCATTTAAAGTACTGACACTTTATATTATATAGCTGTTTTGTGAATTGGTGCTATATAAATTGAGTTATATAAAAGTTATATTCAAGTTCAAAATGAACTTCAAACTTCAAATTCAAATGAATCAAAATGAAGTAAAAGTGTTTTCACTCACTCTCAGCAGAGGGCAGTGCAAGATAGTCAGAGTTTATGTGCCTCTTTCCCCTGTTCCCTTGACTATGATGCTTTAATGCATTTCTACATTAATCCACAGAAACATTTATCAATGTAAAGCTGTTTAGAACCTACTTATAATAAGCTGTCTATTTTAAAGAGTTTGGAAAGAAAGCGAATGGACTTCATTTATTTTCATGAAGACAATTCACCTCTCATCCAAGAAGCTTCTGCAGTTCTAAAACAAGCTGAATAAGATTAAATGTTGAGGATGAACTGTCCTGCTGAGGTCTTGACCTTCTGTATGTCAGTCAGATGACCTGTTTCTACTAACAGTGATGAAATCCAGCACACCTCAGAGCTTCATTAGTGCATCCAAAGACTCAATATATTTTATAGTCATTCAATTGTTGACCAATTCCTGTGTGAAAGACCCTAAATCTGTAACATTATGAATTAACTAATGAGTCTCTGCATTTCACTGGTAAATATCTTAACAAGCGCATTGTGTATTTCATCCTTTACGCACATTATCATTATACAATAAATGTGTTCGTTTCCAGAAAATCTAAATGTTATGATGATTTCAGGTGATTAAGTTCAGCGTTTACCCTTAATTATGTGTGACTGTCATCACATACATCAGCCACCATTCATGTCACACCCCTGGCTGAAAGGGAAAGACAAAATATATACACCTCACTGAAAAAAATAAATGTATTTAAAAGTCAAGAATATCACCAGTTTGTCTGTAATTTGTGTAGTGTGTAAATGTGTGTGTAAACAAATAAAATTTAAATAATCCCAAATGACCTGGAAGAATAAGTGATAGAAACTGAGGTTGCTGAGGTCCATATATAGTCTCAGCTGAGTAACTAACCACGGTGACAAATGTTGCTCTAAATACAAGTAGCCACCAAAACCTGGAAGAGGATATAGAGTTCTAAGAGCCATCACACATATGTATTCACAATAAAACAGGTTTTTGTGATGTTGTCCTGGGGGATGTCAACATGAAAAGTACACAGTAAAAATTAGCACAGACAGGTGTTCATCAAAAATGAAAGAAAAACATTGTAGAAGTGATTTGACCTGAGAAAATTTTAAATTTGTGTATGTGAAGAAAGCTAGTTTTAAAAAAAGAAAAAAAAGAAGAAAATACCCGTGTTATGTAAGCTTCGGATAAGATGGAATTAATAGCTAACACAAGAATGAGCCCACTCCTGCACCCTGATAAGTATGAAGGCTTAATTTGTTACCCAGATGATTTCAATGGGGCAAAATGTGCTTAAATTAAATCAGCCACTGTGACCATTGTTGCAGAGATCACAAAAACAAATATGGTTTTGTTTGGGATCTGGGGCTTTTGTTGGCTTTTTTCTAATAAAGTCTTGAAATAGGTGGAAGTAAAGGATTTATAAATGATTTATTTAAAAAAGCAATTTTTTTTAGAAATAAAAAGTTCTTTCATGAGTGAAGCTGATAAAAAGCTGAAGGCAGTGGCACATCCAAATGTTCACTGTGTTTACAGAAAAGTGCCAACTTGGATTAATCAGTGTGAAAAGAGAAAATGGGATGATCCACACAGTAATATGGGAACATGTATTATTTTCTTAATCAGCAAAGTAGTTTTGGTCTGTGCTGATATCTTTGGTAAAAGTGTTCTTGACTGATAAGTTGGGATTTAATGTGATAAACTTACAGTAGATAACACAATGTACCACTGGAAGACAGGAGGCACTGTTGATGAAAATGGGCCTGTGTACACCTGCGTAGATATTCCAACCTCATTCCTGAGTTATGCTCAGTGTTACTATTAAGCATTTATATTTCTTTACCTGACTGATTAATTTTGTGTTACTCAACATCAAACTAACCTTTATTTTCTTCATAAAACAAGACATTTCTAACTTGATTCAAACTTTTGAGCTGTAGCGTAAATTGCAGTGAGAGTCCATGGTTATTGATTAAAGCAGATGATGTAGAGTATCGGGACAGGGACAGACTGTTAAAAAGTTATGAGCTGTCTTGCTGCAGAGAAAGTGGAGTCTGTCATCCTTGAAATGCTGCCAAGACAGGCAGCTGGCAGGATTGAATGATGCTCTGCCTCTGTGCTCAAGTACAGACATAGGCTTTAAGCAACCATGAGCCACTGATAAGCGTGACAGATCAGTATTAATATGAATGCAAAAGTGGATTTGTTAAACATGAGCCACTGATAAGAAAACGCCAATGAACACGCAATAAAGTGGACTTGTCAGGGAGAGTTTTTCACTGCCATTGGAATAGTTCAGCTCAATTTTTGTTGAAATACAGAGCTAGAAAGTTGAGTCTTTGTTTCAAAATGCTGACAAAACCTTGATCAGATGCAGTCAGACACAAACAAACAGTATAAACTACTGCTCAAAAGATTGGACTCAGTTTGAAAAGTCCTTGTTTTTCATTATTAAAGTACAGTACAGCACATTTTTAGTAACAATTACTCCTGTTTTGAAAGGAATCACATTGTTCTACTCAATACACGTTTTTCATGTTAGATAATTCATATTTGA